AAATAAATTTTAAAATTGCGAATAGTTAGAAGAAACGTATCAGTGAAACGACAAAGGATGAATTACAGAGAAATGTTTATCGAAAGATAATTCTTTTTCTGTGTAGAGTGAATCAACGAAATGAATGATAGAGATAGGTGGGCTTGATTAATTCATCGATCGGTAAAATGGTCTCGGTGTTGCAATAACCCGCGATGGTTTTAAAAATAACTCAGTGGCAGAACTTGTCACCGACTTTCTCTGCTGTCTTAGAAACAGCACGGTTGGCATTCAGTGGCGGCGTGCAATGCCGATGGAACTTATTGCATTTCCGCCTCTCGTCATTGTTTGACATTCATCCACTTGAATCCCGTGAAAATAATCACTGAAAGACTTTGCCTTCGCATTTGCAGAAATAATTGCCAATTGTTTGCTTTCTCGGTAATGGCTAATGGTCATGCATATACTCAATGGTTTCTTTTATTGGTGCTTCTTAGGTTAAGTTAGGTTAGGTTAAGTTAAGTTAAAAAAAGAGATTTTTATACATATAATAGAAATATAATACAAAATATTAAATTTTATAATATCGAGTAAAATACAGATATTTAAAAATAAATTTTTATGATTTTTCTTTTCGAATTTAAAAATTTTCGATTATTTAGTTCTTAAGAATTATATTTCTTGGAATAATTTTATATCTTTTAGAAATTTTTTAATTTTTTTAGAAATTAGAATTTTTTAGAAATTAGAATAATTAGGTTATATTGCTTTTTTTGTTTTGAAATTTAAATGTTAGCTATTTAAATTTTTCTTTTGAATGGAATAAAAGAAATACAAGAATCTGAATTCGATGTTTCCTCTGTACAAGTAGTAAAGATAGAAAGTCGCGAGTCTTGTGCATAATGTAATCAGTATCCAAGGCATTTCTAAACCTTTCTAAATTTATGATCGTAGTATGATGTAACATATTTATTCTCTCATCTAATACTTATGTTTAGTAACAATTGAAGAACGTTGAGATACAATTGTACTTCACTCGACATTTAACATCAGATTACGATTCCAGTATTAAGAAGATTAAACATATTACGATAATATTTGATTTTATAGTTGCCATAGTAATTATGAATTACTTGTCTTCCTGGAAATTCATATTTACAATTATATATATAGACTCTGTAGCTTTTGAAACAAGATTTTTCATATTGATTTGCAAATAATATACGAAAATAATAATAATAATACGAAAAAATAATATAAAATATTAATTAACGCTGCAACAATAATGGAATAATCACGAATATTTTTCTCGAAAAAAAAAACTTATGCAAAAACTGAGATGGCAAAATTATCCAATATAAAAATTATCTTAATTAAAAAAAATTTCCATTCAATACAATATTATGTACGTATATTCTGTGCGTATACCATGATTTGCATATCCTATATCCTACAATTTTCGTGCATAGCATCTGTCACTGGACAAACCTCCGGCTAAATGAATAAAACGTAATCGAGCGCGTCTCTTCAATTTGCATCTCATTGAACCCGTTCTCGCGGATCGCAAATTGTAAAATCGGGAAACAAAAATTAAGAAAATATGGCCAACGAACATGGAACTTGTCTACCGCCAATAATTGCCATCGATGCTCAATGGAAGAATGAGGAGAAAATTCACGGTCACGCATTCTTACGCGTATTACCGTTTCAATAATAAACACGTATCGATTTTCGAATATTCACAGCATTAAGACCATTTCACAGAGTAACAGTAGAGTTGACAAATTAATTATTTTCGAATTATTAAAATTTCAAATATAGTTATAATATATATTAATAAGTTTAAATGCTCGAATAATTATTTATCGTTGAGAGTTACTATGTATATTACTTTTTCTTCGGTCATAACTATGATTATTCGGTTCTACAGTTAACTTAATGCTTTGAATAATTGTAATTACTTAAATAATTTATTGAAGTGATAAATTGACAAATTCTTTTTTTTTTTTTAGTGAAGTATTATGAAAGAAGATTATATACAGATAATTTTGTAAATAGAAGAAATATGAGAGAAATATGAGAGATTCTCTATGCCAAGATATTTTTTAATTCCTCATTAATATTCCTACTTAAACAATAAAAAAAATGTGGAAGTTCCGATTCTATTTCAACAAAGACAAAATCCTCGCCAATATTTATCTACGGATTTATGCCAGTCTTTGCAGGTTATGTATGAATAGTGCGTAGTTTGAGAATAAAATTCGTGAAACTCTTCGAGAATTATTTTTTAGACTAATTAATTTTTTATAGCAGTATTTTTACCATTGATAATGTTCTGAAAAAAATGTGAATCTATTTGAAAAAAAGCCTATGAATTATTTTCGGAAGTATTTTTCACAAATTTGACACTGTATTGAGAGTGACTATGTTAAAATAACCAACGCAGTGTCTATTAATAAGAAATGATTCTCGAGAATAATTCTAAAAAATTTGACATTTTTAATAATTTTAAAAAGAAGATATTTTCTTTATTTTTCATAATTTCTATTCTCAACACAGTGTCTACTAATAAAAAACAATTCTAACAAAAAATTTTCAAAAATTTGAAAGAAAATCTACGAATTATTCTCGTAAGTATTTTTCAATCTTTATTTTCAACATCTATCTATTAATAAGAAACGATTCCAATAAAAATAATTTTTTCAAATTCGAAATTTGAAAAAAGATTTATTATTTTTATGGATAAAGTAAAAACTTTTATTCTTAAAACGCTAAAAATTTGAAAAAAATAAAATATCGAAAATTAATTCCAAAGAATTCTATTCTAAAATACATTCGTATTCTAAGAAGAGAGTATATAGAGTACCAGTACATAAGACACGAATCTTGATGCCCGATTGTTTGCCCGTGCGAACCGGCCTTTAAACGATTGCGCGACTCGGTTGGCTCACGCGAGGCTCCCTCTGTAACGAGGATTAATATCCTTCTTCCATTTAACAAGAGACTTACGAGACGCAGATATAATCGTTCTAACTCCGGTGGAGAAAGAACGAGCGATGAGAAAATTTATTCGAACGGCCCATTGGATAAATCTCTCCGTGCCACCAACGAATCTTAACGGAGTAATCGCGGCAGATATCATTAGATTAATGGCAAATGATCCTGCGACCCGCGACACTGGATCTCTCTCCAGTGCGCTTGTGCTCCGAGGATTGCGCGGAGAAAAACTGATAACGAAACAGGAAACGACGAGTGGAACGAGGGGATTAATACGAGTCTCGATTCAATGTGTTTAGATATAATTTCAATGGTTCTTCGTTTCGAAGATTATTTAACCACGTTTGCGGTCTGTGTCGTTTCTACTGTCGTTTTAAAGTGATTCATGATTGCTGACCAATTTACGAATGTTGTTTGCAATTTTGTCTTAATTTTCTGATTTTTCCAAGAAAATTTATATATATATATATATATATATGTTAATAAAAAAAATATTTTTATTAATCTTTATTATGTCAATAATAAAATTTATTGGATATTATAATTAATTTTTAAATAATATTAATAAATATTAATTTTTTAATAATTTTCGGTAGATAAAATTTATTCTATCCATCATTGATCGATCGATTTGTAAAAATAGTGGATAGTCAAGAAGATTAATGCAGAAGTTAAGACAAATCGTACTGTGAACAATTGTATCAAGATTCATGTCTGTAAATATTTTTCTTAGAATGCAATTGTATTTTAGAATAGAATTTTTCAGAATTAATTTTCAATATTTTATTTTTTTCAAATTTTTAATGTGTTGAGAGTGAAATTTTTTACATCTATAAAAATAGTTTCAAGAGCTATTTAGTGTATATGGAAAGTGTTCTTTCAAATTTTGGATAAAATATTAAAAATGGATGGAAATTTGAATTTTAGGTTAACTCGAACTCAAAGTTTACAAACTTGCAAAATAAGAATTAGAGAAGAAGTTTATTTCCTTTTCAATAAATTATGTCACGAATCTAAGATTCTATTACAATAACATTCAATCTTACTTCAGATTATTTCTTATAATAATAAAAATATCGATATAATTTATCGATCGAGTTATTCATTTATATGCTTTCTTTCACCTATATTCACACGATCACGTGGTACAAAATGGCGATATTAAGGTATTAACAACTTAATTAACGTTACACAAAATATAATAATTAATTTTATATCTTTCTTTTCTTTCTCAAAAATTAATTTGCACGAATAAATCACATTTATCGAAGCACGCATCTAGACGAATAACAAGATAATAAAAGTCTCGTGCAAGAATAGAAGATACGAATCTGTATATGTATTTAATAAGGAGGCAAGTATGCTATAATGTTTATCATTTATTCGAGTGATTTGCATATACGAGTTATCGCTATATATGAGTCACGATTTACGTAAACGAAAATTTATTATCGAAACCAGTTCATCACATCTCTGCAATTACCTCTTTCTTTTTTCTAAATTAAGTTTGAATGGTATACGTGCAACAAGATTAATCAAATGGAGAAAATATCATTTATCTATTGAAACTAGATAGTCATCTGTTAAAATGAATTTGCCGGATGAATTCGAATTTCTCAATTGGATAAAATTTAATTGGTATTTAGTGTAAAAATGTTTGAATATATATTTTACACAGTATAAATATAAATAGAGTGAGAAAAAAAAAACTTGAATAATTGTGAAAAGAAAAGTGAAAAAAGATTGTCTTTGATTTTTCAAATTTAGTGAAAAGATACATAATAATTATTAAATAACATAATAATAATTAAATCTTTAAATAACAATTTTAATTTTCTCATTACAGGTTGCTAAAAATAAAAATTACATAATAAATGTAAACTGAGTTTTAATTTATATTGAACGACATAAAGATACTAAGTATATATATATCCATTTAGAAAAAGACAAAAAGGTGACATTCAATTGATTATATTTTTATTCAAGATAAACAAATTAAAAATAATGATACTATTTAATTTTCATGTAAAACATTTCTCCCTATCGAATAATGATAAAAATAAGAAAATCAAGATATCAAAATCAGGTAAGATATCCAGTATAAAATTTCCATTTCTAAAATATTATGATGCATACATCATTCTCTATCCAGTTATATCTCCATCGCAATCTCTTTTCACATATAATATTCAATAATAACTGATATGAAACTTTGACATTAAAATTAATCAAACATGTCGAGAAAAAGAATAATCGAAGAAAGGCAAATAAAATATAAAAAAAAGAAAAAAAAAATATAATTACACTTAGAATTTCTTCTTTAGAATTTTATCAAGGTTCTCCGCATAAAGAGCAACTTTATTATCATGATTTGAATGCAATGCGAATCTTTGATATTAAAATTAATCAAACACATCAAGAAACAAATAATCGAAGAAAACCAAACTACAACAAAAAAAGAAAAATATAATTATACTTATTGATTCTGTAGAATTTTCTCTGCAGAAAGAGTGATTCTATCATCTTGATCTGAAAGGCAATGCGAATCTTTGATATTAAAATTAATCAAACATATCAAGAAACAAATAACCGAAGAAAACGAAACTGCAAAAAAAAAAGAAAAGAAAAATATAATTATAGTCGTCAGTTCCGTAGAATTTTGTCAAGGTTTTCCGCACAAAGAGCGACTCTATCATCGTGGTCTGAAAGATAATACGCGACCGCGTAATTGCGAGTTGGTTAGGTGAAATTCGCTAGGAGGTGAGCAACCGGTCGCGGAAAGGGTTAATAATAAGAGTCAACCGGTATTTCCACGTCTTATTACGAACGAATAGATTGGGATGAAGCGGGAAGGCACATGGTGAAAACGTGCCTCGGTATCTCTGGGGTTGCAACGAGTCATTAATGCTTTCAGACAAAACACTTCTGTGCCAGCTGCGATTACTCGTACGCGCGATTTATTATGTCTATTCGAGATAAAATAACAAAGCGATGGATAACTTTTTGGAGAACTCTATGATTAATATTTTAGCTCTAGTTAATTTTTTCTTTTTTTTTTCAAATTTTGAACATTTGGTGAAATGTTATATGTTAAATATAAATTGTAGATTGAGAAACTGTATTAATGTAATTGAATCATTGTAAAAAATAATAAATACATTATCTTTAAAATCTCTGGAATTTTTAATTTTAAGTAAAATTTTAGTAAAATTTATTTTCTGCCTATGTTAAAAGTTACATTTCTATTTATAATTATATTATATTTAAGCATTTCAATATTGATTTAAAATTGGAAACTAATTATTTTTTATTTTTTATTATTTTTTATTTTTTAATTTCTTTTTTTAATTCTTATTGAAAAAAACAGATTTTTCAGGACGAATATAGAGATTCCATTATATTAATTTTATTTGAAAATTTTAATTATTTATTATTAAATTTTTTATAAAGAATAATTTAATTTATAAGAGAATATATAATTATAATAAAGTATAATACAATAATATATAAAATTATTGATAAGTCGTGTTATTATATGTATATATATATATATATGTACGACTATGTCTGACAACAGACGATCCTTTTCTACTTGATTCTAGTTTCTATTTTTCTATCGTATCTCTACACAGTGATACACGCTGATGTAATGTTTAGAATAAAATAATAGTAACTTTGAAAATCATTGAAATTCATCAAAAATTCTATTCTATAAAGTTTAATAATATTAAAATTTATGACAACTAGTTAACATTCAACTAGATTTTAAGTCTCCTAAATAATATAAAAAGAAAAAAAAATTCGAGCATAAAAATTCATTGAAGTATATAACAAAAGTCTATGAAGCATGAAAGTACATGTTTTATGGTTACAAAAGAGATAAAATACTAAAATTTACACAAAACCGGACTTCAATGTTCAAGAAACCGAAAGATATACGCAGGAAATATATTTTCAAGGTAAATGATGGCACATAAGATGAGCTGAATTACAAGCTGGGAAACAATCGCTGAAAATTCAGTAACCTAACCATCGAGTGATTGTACAGATATAATTCATTCAATTTTAGATTTATCTTCTTTAAATTTAATAAATTGTCATTGATGTAAATCAATATAACATAGTTTGAAATTAAAAACTAATGAAAATTATAGGTTCGAATATTTAATCATCGAAGAACGAAAATCGAAATTAAATAATTTAACATATTTTTGTATGAATTATTATCGGTGCAAATTAATATAAATAGTTTCAAATGAATGATTATCATTAAAAATTAAATGTTAAAATAGATTGCAAAAAATTTCTATTTCGAGTGTTCAATTATCAAAAAATTAAAATTAAACAATTTATCGTAACGTAACCTAACCTAATCTTACTTAACCTAACAAAGTGTTAATAATTATACAAAAAACCGAGGAAAGTTGAAAAAATGTGACTAGTTAATCATAATCATAAAACAAACATATCTCGATAATTTTTAACATCAACATGTACACATTTTATATTCATGTAAACGAGAAGGAGACACAGGTGTGAATCAAACATTTGCCATTCGACACAAGTTATCACGCAATAACGCATCGCCACGGCCGAGATCGCGGGGATTATATTGCGTTTGCCAAGCCACGGCTAATTTTTATAAGGATATGGGTTAGATAATCGATGCGCTGTACTATCGACGTAACTATTAAAATATCGAATGGCGCGGGTAATCCGATCCGTCCAAGCGAATCTGAAATAGAATTCGTCTTGTTCGTTCGGATAGATGGAAATGTCTAGTTTCAATATACAAGGTGTTCTATATTTCTATGCAGAAAATTAAAATAAAATTAGAATAAAATTTCATTAAGCAAATTGAAGTTGGTAAGTTGAATAATGCATGATCTGGTTACATAGGTTATGTTTATTTAACAATTCGAATATTTACAGAGTCACCTTTAGTTCTTTTTTAATGAAATTATTCTTTTCTACGTATTTCTGAATTCTTCTTAAAAAAATATGAAAGTAATCGTAATTCAAATTAAATTTAAAAATACATATTTTCAAGAAAATATTATGATGAATTGTCAATATCACTGAAAAAAGTGCATAAATGAAAATTAAAACTACTATTTCTACTACTTTTTCAATGACTATTCATTTCGACTATTAGTTACACCTTGACTTAGTCTGATTAATTAAAAATAACACAAGGCTGAGAACTCGAGAAGAATTGTCTTTTGTATTTGTAACACAAATCATTTAGAACGTTATGCAAGAAATAAAAATTGGCAAGTGTCTGTGAATAATAGTAAAATAGAATAACTTTTTATTGGCGAGATAGCTTTCGACCGATCAGGTTTGGAAATTTTCTCACATTGATCCTTATTTTTTGATGGCATAAATTGAACTAGAATAAATATCGTATTAGTAATGATTAATATTTATTTTTGTAGAAATAAAGAAAGAAATTTTAATTATATTTAAATTAAATTACATTAATTCTATTTAATAAGTTAAATTCTAATTCTTTTTAATCACAAGTAATTAATTTTTTAAATAATTTCTAACTATTCCGAAATATATAATAATTGAAGCTCATAAATGATTTTTTATCTTCACTCGAGATTACTTCAATATTTTATTTATAAAGCAAACTTCTATCGATAGGAAAAACATTAAATTATACTTTGAATATACATTGGAAACATATAGTATAAAAATAAATAATTTGAAATAATTTAATTCTAAAAAGCAGAGTGATCGACATACTTATTTTCACATAATATTAAATATTCATATGATTTCAATTACATAAAAATATACTTATCAAGTTCTGCATATCGACCTTCTTCGAGAAGAACGAGTCTTAATTAACGTGTTAATTACGAAGAAAATAAATATAGTCGGTCGTACGTAACCAATCGAAAGTAGTTTATTACAAATCACGCCATGATAACCCCTCGCGCAAGGCCTTTCGAAAAATGCTACATTAATTGAAATGGAGAAAAAAAAAAATGATGAATGTTTGGCACAATGACACTAGTGGATAAACGCGGGGTGGAGAACAAAATTCGTTTATCATAGAGTTATAATTAAGAAATATGAATGAAATACACTTTGCAAATTTTTCTGAATTTTTGAGGTTATGATACGCTTATGATACATTTTGTTATAACGAGTCAATATTCGCAAAAATTTAATGAAAATTTTACTAAATATGAAGATATTAATATATATTATTTTATTTTAATAAATAATTAAATAATTAATAAATAAATAATTAAAAAATTGAGAAAGTTATAAGTCGAAAATATAGAATAAAACTTTTTATTCTTGAAACTTTTCAAGAAATTTCAAAATCGATCATTCATATTATACTAATCAATTATAATTCTTCAATTCTAATCAGAGATACAATGATCTAATCAATTATAATTCTTATTTTATCATACAGAAAATTATTATTTTAATTTTTATATGATTGATTTTCAAAATTAATAAATAGAGAAAATTAATTGGTGTTCTGAAACTTTTTTTTAATACAAATAATATTTTTTAACTTATAAATAACAATTAATAATATTTTTTTAATGATACAATAACATTTTATAATGATATAATTTTTAATATATAATACATTAATATAAGTTATTGTGAGATTTAGTGTTTACAAATAATATTTATTGATTAATTCATAAAACAAATACTAAAAAACTAATCTCAAAATTATTTAACTTAGCCAATTTTTAATGCATTAATATAAGTTGATTCATACCAGCATAAATTTAAGACATGTATTCGTTATTTAGAGACAATATTTATTGAATTCATAACACAAAATAAATATTATAAAACTTCAAAAGCTAAGTTAAATTCTCAATGCATAATTGGTTATCAATGTTCAAAATATATATATTTATTATCCATAGATAATATTTATTGATCAATTCAAAGTACAAAAACTTCAATACTATTAACCTAACTAATTTTTAATCCATAATATATTAATGTGAATCAATATAAGAATCAAAATATGTATTCCACATATTCACATATCCACATTATCCACATATAATATTCACTGTTTAATTCACAATACAAAATAATAAACTATCACAAAATTAACTTCAAAATTTAAGATACATTATCTATGTTTATTGACTAATTCAGCACAAAACAAATATTATAAAACTAACTTCAAAATTTGCTAAAGCAATTTAAACTTAGTCAATTCTTATTGCATAATATTAATATAAGTCATTATCAGGTTTAACATGTACTCACTATTACCAGACAATAATATCAATATCAATAATATCAATAATAATATAATATTGATCAATTCACAAAGTAAAACAAATACCATAAAAAACTAACCTCAAAACTAACTAATCTATTACAAACATAATCCGATAAACCAACATTCCACGCGAAATAAATAAGAAGATAATTCCAATTACTCACAAGAAGCATCGAGATA